ACCACAGGAACGCTGGGATTGCAGATGTGTGCCACACAGCTGGCTTTTCAATGTGGGTTCTGAGGATTCAAACTCCAGCTTTGGCCGATGATATTATTTACCCCCTGAACTGTGTCCCGAACCCTGTTGTGTGGTTTTAGTCTAAAGCCCTCCATCTGGTTTTGCGGGACTTGAACCCCTGAGTTAGTGTACTTACAGTTGTGAGGCTCAATTCTGAGAATGCTGCCAATCAGCCCTAAGTGGGTGACACATTTGCCAACATAGTTCAATTCTTTCTTTTAATGCCATCTCAGCCAAAGGAGCTTTACAACTATTTTATACTGATTCCTTTTTTTTAAAGATTTATTTATTTTTTATGTATATAACGTTTTGCTTCCATATATATCTGCACACCAGAAGAAGGCACCAGATCTCGTAACGGATGGTTGTGAGCCACCATGTGGTTGCTGGGAATTGAACTCAGGACCTCTGGAAGGGCAGTCGGTGCTCTTAACCACTGAGCCATCTCTCCAGCCCCTTATACTGATTTCTTTACGTTATATGTTTACATGTGCACTTGGCTGTGTACACATGTTCCGTGGTACACGTGTGGAGGTCAGAAAACAAACTTCGGGTCATCAGCCATGCTAACATTGCCTCTACCCACCAGGCCATCTGATAGCTCCCAAATGGGCTTGCTTGCAAGCTACAGTGTATCACAGGCTCACTGTAAGCTACCACTGTACCAAGGTTTTCTCTCCTGCCACACCATCCTACAGTTAGCTTGTACATTATTTTCAGTCGTGATTTAATCCCAGCCCTCAAGAGGTACAGATGGGTGTATTTCTGCAAATTCAAGGCCAGCCTGGTCTACATAGTGAGCCCATGACTAGCCAAGGCTATGCAAATGAGACCGTGTCTCTAGAAATGAATTTATTTTAGTTTCTTTATTGTGTGTGCATGTGTGTGTATGTGTGTGTATGTGTATGTATGTATACGTATGTGTGTGCACCTGTGTCGTCGAGCATATGTATAGAGGTCAGAGGACAACTTTGGAGTCCGTTTTCTCCTTCTACCTTGTTCAGGTCAGGTAGATCTCTCGTTTCTGCCATGCTTTGTAGCCCAGGCTAGCTGGCTCCTATCTATCTCTACCTCCCATTGCTGTGGGAGTGCAGGCATTACAGGTACACACTACCACATACTACTTTCTGTGGGTTCCGAGAATCAAAATCAGGTCATTGGGCTTACACGGCAAGCGCTTTTACCCACTGAACCAATTTCATTGGCCCTTGGGTTTAATAGATTATTTCTAGGGCAGTCAAGGTGGTGATGCCTGTATTCCACACCCTGGGGGTGGGAGCTGTGGGGACAGGAGGGTGAGGAGTTCAAGATCCCTCTTGTAACTTAGGGAGTGCAAAGCCAACCTCAGCTACCTGTAGGAGATCTTGTCTCAAAAATTTTTTTCTAGTGTTTCAATTTTTTGTTTCTTGCTTTTGAAAGACAGGGTCTAACTGTGTAGCTCAGGCTGACCTCAAACTCACAGTCCTACTGTCTCAACCTCTGCAATTCTGGGCATGTGGAATGTTAATTACACTGGGGACAAAGGTCACTGGGGTCCTAGCGGAGAAATGAGGTAGGCAGGTGGAATCAGGAAGGAACAGAGAGCACAGGGCAGGCAAAGGCCTGCTGAGATGGGAATTCTGAGAGAGAGAACTGTGGGGTTCTGAGGAGGATGGAACCCACATGCTGAACTCCCTGAAGGATCAGCAGCCCCAGGTGGGACTCACCCACATTCAGGAAGTCCAGCCTCCCCGGCATCACGTGAAGCTAAACAGGACCCCACCACAATATTGTCATTTGAAAGTGTTGGGGCGGGTTGCCATCCCTCCTTCCCTGGGGCCTACAGATGTGTGTCAAAAACTATGAACATTTGCTTCAGACTTTCATAATCTTTATTGTCAACCTGCCAGACCAGACTGGTTTTTTGTTTTGTTTTGTCCTCCCATGTAGGTCAGTGTAATGTCAGACTGATGGGTACCAAGACACATCCTACCCCGGCTGGGGTGACACTGAGAACAGATTGCAACCCAGAACCCAGCTTAATGGTGGAGACAAGGCCACCATGTGACAATCAACAGAGCTCATTACAAAGGGACA